TTCTCATTTTTTGTTGGTTCCCTCAGCTTTTCTTTTTAAGTGCTCTTTGGTTCTCGTTTTTTGTTGGTTCCCTCAATTTTGTGGTTTGGATTGGGGGTTTGGAGGTTAGAGGTGGTTTCACAGTAACCTTTTATAAGGACCAGGGGTTCGAATCCCCAAACCAACAATCCAACCACCAATTAAGAATGGCCTGATGTTGGTTACTGCACAAAGCAACCTGAACAAACAACACCCTGCTTAACATTTGGGGGGGGGAAACACATCATGTGTAGCATTCTCGTCTATTTGGGCGTCCCTTGACTCCCGTGACTGGGTCAATCTGTTTGTCCGGTGACTAAGAACAGAGAAGAGCGAAGTCACACACGGCCGTTCTTCGTGAAATGAAGGCTTGGGCAGATTGGCTTGCGCAAATGAATTAGTTCAAGCGATCACGGCGTTGCCCGGACGCGACCGAAACAAATCCCATCAAAGCTGGAGGGCCAGTTTGGGCCTCAGGCCAGGGCGGCGACTTTGTGAATGGCAACGGCATGGGGGGCGAGAGTATCTATGGGCCCACCTTCCCGGACGAGTTCGAGCACGGCGCTGCTTGCCCGGAAGGTCATGCGGAACCTCCCGGCTAGTACATGGGCCGTAAACTTACAGGTGCGGGTTGACCAGATATGGGCATGGTTCAAAGCTAATGGTACCATTTTGGGACAGGTGCACCACCCATTTTAGTCTATTTTAGCCGGGATTGGGATGTTCACTGGGGGGAACGTGTTTTTTTAATAGTTTCAACATTTCATGTTTAGTCACACGCTGAGGCCAGCCCAGGAAACCCCAAACGAGGTCATCGGGTCTTGAAGTCTCATGTTCACTCAGATATATCGACCCGGGGCTGAATGTTGCTAGAGAAATCAACATGAGAGGTTGAGCCATGTTCACGTCCATGCGGACTCAGAAACCCGTTTCTGATTGATGCCAGGTTATCAACATGGTGCTTTCTCGACGACAATGAAGATGTGGAAGGGAGCCCCCGCGAAGATTCATCCCATGAGAGGGTCTACCTGAATGTAAAGAATCAAGCAAGAGGCTATCCCCCCGAAAAAAATAAACAAACAAAAAAGAAAAGAGACAAGAACAACAAACCCGAGGTCCGCGAATTAAAACAAATCGAGTGAACTTGCAGGTTGTGAAGCACTCCGAGGGTATGCTGCTGTCGATGGCCAACGCGGGCCCTGACACCAACGCCTCGCAGTTCTTCATCACGCCTCTCAGATTGGAACTGGAACGTTTTCACGTGGCTGTGGCTCAAAATGAAAGAGTCGGGGTTACGCAGGTTTTACTCTTTGGTTCCAGTTACCAAGGGCTCCATTTTGGCTACCATTTTTTGAGCCACAGCCACATTTGGTTGGCAGATTTAGGAGCAAGAAAGTCGGCACACGAACCCATTCACTGTAAAAAAACATGAGTCTGCCGAGGTTTTTCCGTGGCCAGCTGCTCGATTCGAGGATCTAGGTTCTTTACCTGGGGATCCCAGGTTTCAAGAAGAAGGCACCGGTATAGGACCCACTCCTGCCTGGGATCTCATTTGGAACACTTTGAGATTTACTGGTGCAAAAACAGAGAAATCATCTGGAGACGGAGGACCCAGGCAAACACCTGATTTGGCTGTGGCCAGAAACTTGGGAGCCCCCTTTTTGGATGGGGTAAAAACGAAACCACAGGACACATGGATGGTAACTTGCCCTTAGAGCCTCCACAACCTCTCAGGGCCTGGGGTTTTGGTGATGCTTTGCGATGGTGGAAAATCTGCGATCGAATGTGGCGTTCGAAGCTGCAGGTCGTTGGTTTCCCGACCTGTTGCACGGGACACATCACCACTTTAGGAGGGTCCATGTCCAAAGGTGATGGGTTCACACCATACTTGTTTTTGATGGACCGGTAACTTCGAAACACCCATTGCAAACCGTAGAAAATCCATAAGCCATAGCAAACAGTAAGGAAACATGGGTTCAGTGTGTTTTCTTGCCTCTAGCTATGTTTGTATTGTTCTTAAAAGTAAGCCAAAGCGGGGTGATAACTTCCTGACTGTTTCAAACCCCCCTTATCAACACCCGTCATTATTTCAACTGCTTGTTGGGGCTTATCAAAGCAGACACTGGACTCATTTTTCTGTCACCTGCTTGCTACATCGCTCAAACATGCCCCAGAGGTTTCTGACCGGGAAACGCCCAAGGAGCATGTTCATGGCACAAACTCCATTGTGACAAATCCACTCCCACATACTCCATGTAGGTAGCATGTACCCACATGTGCCCCATTTAAAGGGTAAATGTCGGTAAATATTCCCGTAGAGCGTCTGGGATTGGTGAATCAATCCGCCGGGTTGTGGTTTCCTCGAAAAACTTGCGGCAACTCAACAAGCGCAACGGATTTCGGAGCGAAACCCAAAAGCCACGCCCTTCTCGACTCCACGGCGAGTCTCTCTTTGGGCGCAACACCCTTGGCTTACTGGCTTCTTACAGACCAAACTGTTCAACTTGTCCGCGTGGACTTTTCTTTGTTTTGGGCTTGAACATGTGTTGGTTGCCGGCTTCAACATGGTGTATGGTTTGGATGTTTGGGCTTTTTGGGGTAGGTAGGTCTTTCGATATGAGACTTACTTCCGGAACTTGAGGACCGCACGGATGCACCACCTGGATGGGAAGCATGTGGTCTTTGGGCGAGTCCTTGATGGACAAGAGGTGGTGCGAGTGGCGCCGCGGCCACATGGGTTTCGTGATGTTTTGTGGAGTTTTGTTGCCAGCGCTTTCCCGGGGAAGAGGCGGAAGAGGTTTCATATGGGTGTGGTGGTCAAAACTAGGGTAACCCCCAAATGGCTTGCCCTGGTAAATGGAAAGGACCATCACCTGCGGCCCATATCCTGGTGGTTTAATTTTGACCCATACGGCATATATCCATGATGGAAAAGTCGAATCGACCTTCATGACCTCCGAAAGGATTCGATGATGTTTTCAGGGTGAACTTTCCCCTGTGTGGCTTCTCCAAAAGGACAACCCTACTGTGGATGGAACAAATCCTGCCCGAGTTGGTGGGGGTGAATAGAGTTTCATCCATCCCAATTGGTGCAGGACTTTGTCCATCCAACCAACTGGGGCAGGCATTCTGGCGCCGCTTTCTTGCCTGACGAACTAGGTGTACCCAGAAGTACAGGATCCCTTTTTTGTCGGCGTAATTAAAGAAAAACTAGAAGGAAGCCGACCATTTGGACCGATGGCTGCCAGTGCGTGCGATGAAGGTTCACTTTCACAGTGAACCCTTTGCGGTGAACCGTCTTTGGCTAACACGTCCAAAGCCGCCTTTTTGACCAGTCGCTTCCCATGTCGGGATTTTCTTGGAGGTGTCAACATGTTCGAACTCCTTCGGTCTCCTGGTCTTGGCGCCAGCGAGTTGCGGCCCCGTCTTCCACTTCGGGAAGCCAGAGACATGGACTCGGTCCTCAGGTGGAGAAGTGTGGCTCACCCAGCGGCAAGCCCATCGCCCTGTGCGTCATCACCAACTGCGGGCAATGTCCGTAGGATGCCGGGGTCCTCGGTTAGTTTTCTTGGTTTCAAGCTCATCACCGTTTTGGCAAGCTTGGTGGTGTTCTGAGGGGAATATAGGGAGCCCTGCAGGATGCTTGGCTTGAAGTGCCGTACCTTAAAAGGATTCGGATTGCATGCACCATAAGGCAACCATGTGTAGCATCCTAGAACCCATTTGTTAGAACGCATTTCGGGTCACCGTCTCTGTGGATTTGAATGCTTCGTAGTGGGGTGATGATTGAAGCGACATAGAAGACACCCTGAGTCATTTCGGCCGTCCGGCCTAGAACAGTTGCTGCACCCAACACAAGGGAAAGGCGAATGACATGGTCCAATTCGGTTTTCTTTCCACCTCCCCCCGCCCCCCCCCACGGTCAGCTCAGCAAGGAACAAGGCAAGGTGGGTTTTCAATCTGTTCAACAAATACATTTACTGTCATGTTTGTGCCCATTGCTATCGACTTGAGGTAACAGTGAGTCGGCATGCAGGGCATGTCTCGGCCGAGCAAAGAACCCTGGGCAGCTTTAGCTCGTGTGGCACTCGGTTTGAGAAAAAGGCGAGCGGCGCGTTTCTAAGATGGTTTCCACCACCACCCAACCATTGCCCCGGGATTTTCAGCCACCATACTTTGTAGCTACTATTATACATGTCGGGGTATAATATAGTGGAAACCATCTGCATGTTGCAGCCTTGAAATGCGCGAGTCGGGGCTAAGCATTCAGTTGCAAGTTTGAGGCCACTTTGGTGAGTTTTTCTTCTCGCCCTTTCGAGGGGTAGTGTTTCCCAGGCCCGATTCGGGCGCTGGCTTTTCTGCAGGATTTGGGTGCACCCTGAGAGGTAGGGAAGAGAACAACCCCATCAAAGCGTCCGGCTATGAACCACCAAAGCAGCTGCGGTTCCAAGACTCTGTTGGGTGGGCTCCTTTGGGATACTCGTGTCTTTTGCGGTTGCAGTTGTTGATCGAACGGGAAACCAAAGGGAAATTGGTTCTTGGGAATCCCCCTCATGTAGGGACAAAATTCAAGTAAAGGGGCGCCGATTTGTAAAGACGGGTTTTACACCAATCAAGAGGGGGCACCTGTGATTTTCTTCAATCCGGGCGTCAGAAAATGCGAGTCGGTAGACCGTTGCTGGGGAGTTGCCAAACTCGGCTTTCATTTCCGTTGGTCCGGTAAAGAACATGGGCCAGGAGTTCAGGCTGGCAGAGTGCCCACGGATTTCTGCCGCGTGGGTTTGTACGTTGGCTGTTCTTCTCTCTGGAAACCACAGGCTAGGTCCCCCAGTAGTGCCCTTTTACCGTTTCTTTGGGGAGGGTTCCCTTACTAAAATAGACTACACAAAAAAGTTGGTACTCTTATTCTAACCTTTTAAATCTGGAGGACCTAGCAAAGGGACACCAGGTGGGCAGGGAATTGCAAAGGTTGAGACTGCCAGGTGCCAAGCGTGTTGGCGCTGGCGGCCAAGCTCAGTGGCGACAAAGCCTCGCCAGAGGCACATCCAAATCGGGTCTTGGGAATCTGGCTGTGTCTTTAAATAGGTGCCCAACAATGTGATCCTTCAGCTTTCCCCTATCCTGAAAATGGACCCCCCAACAGCACACACACACACACACTCCCGAACAAAAAGCACACCCGCATGAAGGCTCGTCCAACAAAAAAGGCGCCGCTGGACAGCGAGGTCACCAGCCAACACCCGAGCGGTTCGAAAATGGGACTCACTTTGTGGCCAAACCCGGCCTCATGTCCCACGTGCATGTGTCCTGTTCAAGGCGCAGCCACAGTCAAAGTAGGAGGTAGCTAAAACCCATGGCAAACTTCACGACAGTCCCTCCATATCTCTCCCTGACGTAATGAGCCAGAGACCACGTACTGTCCGCACAATTTGAAGGCATCCCCTAAAAAACGAAACGTCCGTTTTGAGCCAAATACACAACTAAGGCATGATGTGTTGGTCTTATGTTTCCAGTGGAACAAGTAGTTGGGAGGAAGATACGAATCTGCAAACCTCTCCCTATGAAATTCGGTTGGGATGTCTACAACTATATTCACCATGATCCCATGCCGGCCGGCAACAAAACGCAAAATGGTGGTGTGTTTGGGATTTTCATTTTCTTCAGGATATGTTTCATTTTCTCTTTTTTGTTTTAATGGGAATCTATCACTACTGGATTTGTTGGTTGTTTTGTTTGCAGGGGCTTTAGCAAATGGAAGCTATGATCCTTGTTTTTTTTCGCCAACCTTAGTTGTGGCTTTGCATTCGCTTCTCATCTTGGGGGTTTCCTTTTCAGCTTGGCAAACCAAGAGCAAAGCCACCTATCTGAGGTGTCTCCACATTTATAGGGTTTGTCTTTGTTTGATGGTGCCCATTTTGTGTGGTTTTAAAGGGACACCCAAAGGAAACCACCACCATTTTTTTCGGGGTCTCCCGGTCTCCCCCTCATTTTGGCGAGCCCGTTTGTTGTCCCGTGCGTGACATGGTGCCGATCGCGCGAGTTCCTACGAGCTCGCGCCTTCTCTTTGCTCCATCGCCTGGCGGACACGGTGACCTCCCTGGCCCGGGGGCCTTGGCGGAAACCGGGGCTCAAAAACGGAGGCGCCCCTCCCAGGTGTCCCTGCGATTTTTCAAACTTAAGATATGTCCCGAAAAGGGTAGCACACCCCGATGGATTGGAGCTGCTTTGGTTCAAACTGCGTCTTTGCCATTTGGGTGTGGATTCTAGTTAAGCGAGACCACAAGGTTGTCCTTGTTTCCATTTGCAAGCACAAGACATTTTGGGGTTACCGAATTGTTTGACCCACACCTATTTCAAAATACCCGCCTGATTTTTGTGAAACATGCTTGGCATATTGTATGCTTTGAACCATGTCTCGCGACATTCCAGTATCGCCTGCCTTTGGCGTCATGTCGATGTCCTTGTCACACGCAACCAGGCGTCTCACTTCGGAGCTTGAAAAAGCAGCTGCACTTGGATGATCCTCCATTTGATCTAGTTCCTTCCCAAGCTTGGACCAAGGGTGGTTCGAGAAACCTGGTGCCAGGCTCACCCCCCCCAAGGTGAAAGCACGAAGTTTGGGAAGGATAGGGGCGGCGCCAAACCGAAACCACCGGGCCCCAACGCCGCCAAGTGTCGTCCGAGGGTCCGAGCTGTCTTGCATTTGTCGCATGGGCGCAGAACCCCTTTGGGTTTTTGCACGCGACATGAGCAGTGTTTTTTTCCTATCCACCTGGAAGCAGTTGGGTTTCCATCGCAGTTTTCTGGTGGCCATAGGCCCATGATCTGAGCGCCTGTGGTATTTCTGTGGCAAGGCTACTTTGACCCGGTCCCCCAGTGCCAACCTTTACCGTTTCTTTTTCGGGGGAGGGTTCCCCTACTAAAATAGACTGCAGAAAAAGTTGGTACCCTTATTCTAACCTCTCAAATCTGGAGGACCTAGTTGAGGTTAGATATCCTCCTGGCAGGTCTCTAGTTTCGCATGCAGAAAATCGCCGCCGCCAAACTCCGCGGTCGGCTCGATGTCAGCGTGAGAGAAGGGCACGCGGCGCCCACCCAAGGTGGCACAGCCCTCAGGGGCTTGTGGTTCGGGGAGCTGTTGGCACAATTTTTGGGGTGTGTCAATATGAATTTTGGGTGTGTCTGGGGTGTGTCAATTTTCATTTTGGGTGTGTCAATTTGAATTTTGGGGTCCCCAAACCATATGATTTCAGGTCTTTGGGTTGGTGAATGCCATGATATTTGGGGTCTTGGGATAGGGGCAAGGTGCTCTTTGCGGGGTTTGCCGAACGGGCCAACCACCAATTTGGAGGGTCCCATATGTTCAAAGACAAACCTACATAAGTGTTTCAGGTTCACTAAGTATGGACCAAATTTCAATATCATTTAGAGGGCAAACGCTGAGGCAGTGGCGAAGTATTGCTGGCTTTGCGACGTTCTGTTTTTGTTGCTTATTGGATGAAGGTAGATGGCACGAGTACTCCACGTTGGTTTAGTAATCCCCTTTACTTGCGCTTTCAGGCTGTCACTCTTTGCATGGTCAAGGGAGAATCCCATTGGGTGAGGGTGTGTTTTGAAAAGGGAATCCGATTTTGGTTAAGTTTAAAGGGAAATAAACCGAAGACCATTTTGGCGGTCCGCCCATTTAAAGAGTGATACAAAAGAGCACACCTAGGTCGATCTTTTTGACAACCCCACGTGTCAAAAACAGTAGTTCATGTGATGTTGACTTTATTTTTGTAACCTCAAAGGTCCGTCTAGTTTTGCCATATATCCTTTTGCTTGGTGGAAGCACCAGAACCGAGAGCTTTGCGCGTAATTTGCAGGAAAGTCTGTGTGTTTTCCAAGGAGTCTCTGCGACTTGCAGCAACCTAGCGGAGTTTGGTATGCGCCCTCGCCCTTGCGAAGGCAACCCTTACTGTTTGGATTGGGAGGGTATATGGGACCCGCAACACCACCAAACCACAAATCCAACCAATCAGATCAGAGGGAAGCTGACATGATCAACGTTCCTTCCATGGGATTTTATTCTTTGCGAGCGGCTAATCATCAGAAGCGCAGATGAGTGGTTGATCAGAAGTTGATGCTTCCCGGGACACCATGTTGAACCTGGAACAGGGGGCTACGTATGCCTCATGTGTCAATCCGGCATTCCTGTGAGCCTGGGTAAAAAGCTCGGTTCCGTAAGGCAATCCTTTTCTGTGATGATAAAAAGGGGTTGCTTTGCGCAAACCGATTCATGCAAAGTCAACTTAGCCTCATGGTTTTCTGATGCACTCGGCTGTCCTGAGGCTTAAGCTGACTGTCATGTCACTGTTTATCCGCTCTCCCGCCGGCTGGACACATGGCAAGGAGCCAACATGTTGATTTGAACTTGCATTTGTTGCTTACCCAACGCTGTGGCCCAACTGCTCATGATTCGGTGAACCTTTCTAAAAACACCCTTAAGCCGTTCTGACCATGGACAGACGACATGTTTGAACCGCTACGACCCATGGCCAAACGAATCGCCGTGCTGCTTTTGATTGGTGCGGCCCCGGTCGCTGAGCCGCAGATGGAGTGAGTGGGCGGTCTGGCAGATTTGGGCGAGTAGATTTGAGTAAAACTCTCTCACCTATGATGACGACCCCTTACCTGCAAACGCCTTATTTTTGGTATATGTATTGGATTGGTGGTACAACCTTCATGCTGTGTGACACCCGGAGAGATGGCAGAACTTGTCGCGTTCGGGTCCTTAAGGGTGCTGTTGACTCAGCCGATCCCTGGACTTCTAAGCGATGTTTCAAGTGTTCCTTCACAAGTAGTATCCGTTTGCGAAGTTCCCAATGGACTCCAAAATTGGGCTCCATTTCCCAAAAGGATATTGCTGTCAACAGGATGGTGTGGTGGGCTTCTTGTGGTTGTTTGCAGGCCAGTACGCATGTAGAGCTGTGGGCAAGGATTCTGGTGATGGGAAGCATCTTTCAAACACTCAGACAGTTCTGGGGAAGTTGCACATGGATGGTTTTGTGAGTGGCCCGCATCTAGGATTGTTGGAGGCATCATGGAGTCGGTCAGTTTCAAACCATGAGACCCTGTCAGCTTGAAACGAATCCTCGCAATGTAATTGGACCTCAAACTGAGCATCTCAAGAGGACCCCCCAAAGACAGAGGTGTGGAAAGGTACACTCGTGCAAACTTGGTCCACGTTGCTTGAAGGTTGTGCACACTTGCAAGAGAACTGCTCCTGTGCCAGTACTTGCACAATACTTGATGGCTCCCAGCCATCCCCTTAGCTTTTTAGCTTTTTAGTATTTAGTGGGGATGTCCATTTAACCCACTAAAAGTCAACCTTTAAGCGGGGAATCTGAGGACAGCCCAGAATATCTGCTCGCATATTACAGATTCCCAAGCTGGAAGGAAGCAATCCATCTCCAGGTAAGGGACCTTCATGGCTTGATTTACCTCATCCCAAGCGGCCCATTCCTCCCGTGGAACATGAGAGTGTCACATGGAACCCCAAAAAGGGCACGTCGCCCAAGACTTTTGCCATTTCGAGATTCGCCCAACAGTTCTTGAGGATTTTATTACCCGAGAAATATGATGGCCTTTGACCCCCTAATTACCTCCAATCATTGGGTGTTGGGAATTTCAGGGGTTCGAGTTTGCCGATCTTGAGTGGCTGTGATTCGTGTGGACGCGCAGGATCGCACACAGTAGTAGTGCCCGCGTGGGGAAGTGGCGAAGTTTCTCAGGGGTTCCCCTAGGAAGGTAATGCAATGGGAAGGTCCGCGTTTGGGAACATCTTACTTCGGCGAACATGATGAGGATTCAGAACGCGTTGATTCCCCTGCTTTGGTTTGGAGTTGAACATTGACCATGTGAGGGGACACCCTGCTTCTTCTTAATGTGAAGCGGTCCAATTCGCCCACCAAGAACTACCAGGCTGTTATTGGAGACAAGAATTGATCGATTGGCTGCCTCAAGTCAGGTGAACGTTGAGCATGCAGGAACCTCACAAAGTTGATACTTCTTGTCTTGGTGGCTCCCAGCCATCCCCTTAGCTTTTTGGCCTTTTAGTGTTTAGTGGTAGGTTCCATTTAACCGACTACAAGTTAGTCACTTTTAGCGGGGGATCTGAAAATGGGCAGCCCAGTTTTTGCTGCAAACTTGGAGCTTCTGAAAGGTCCGTTTCTCATTTGGTGAGTGTGCCAGAAGGAGTGGCCTCCTGCACGCTTCACGCGTTGGGGTCACTGCTGCGTCCTGTGGATGATAGGCCTCTTGACTTGCGCCTATGTTTGTCCTTGGACTTTGTACCAAGCACCCAACCCACCAGCCAACCAGCACGAAGCCCCCCTCCCCCCCCTCCCCCAAATCGGGTGGCTTCAGCACCCACAACCCACACAGTTCAGGCGTGGCTCGCAGGATCTCATCGGGAAGCTTGGCTTGGGGAGAACAAAAGGGGCCTTCCAGGTTTTTGTTTTCTTTTTGCTTTGGGGGGGGGTGACCGGAAATTGGGGGGTGGGTGTCGCATTTGTTTGAGTTGGCACACCTCTTTTCCGGTGGTGTTCGGAAGGAAAACCCTCAGAAAACCCTCAGATTTTTGAGACCCCATGGACCCCAAATAACACGAATGGGGTCGCGGGCTTGGCATTTTAAAGACACATTGGAGCGTTTGATGGCAATCGCATATGGGCGCAAGTTTCAGTTGAACCTCACCCAGGTGATGGTTAAATGGCCGTTTTCGTCCCGTTGACGAAAAGGGTTAGGTCTCCCTTGTCCCCGGCCTTATTCCTCGTTGGTTCCCCCCAACAAAACTTCGCCAAGCCTTAAGAACCTCCGGGCCACACCTCAGTTGTTCAGTGGCACCCTTTTTCCCTTTTTTTGGTGGCTGCCCCACTAAAAATGGTCTTCCCCAAAAAGGGTTCCCTTTTTTTTCCAGGGTCACTGAACAACTGAGACACTGGTGACATAGCCGCATGCCGCACATTTGCCCTGACTGTGATGCGTTACCGTTCCAGCTGCACGTGTGCACGCTGATCCACATTTGCCTTTGCTAAGACTGACTTTCAGCGCCCCACT